TATATTTTTATTATTAGTTAGTGTCGTTATTTATATATATATATATATATATATATATATATATGTAACTCTTACATAGAATCATTTTTTTTTTCATATCCAATATGTCTTCCTAATACTTTTCACATAGTCGAAGTTCGTAAGTTATCATTCTGCTGAGGGTATTAAGGACAGAGAAGTTGTTTTCAACGGTCAAGTATTATTCGCGAGCAGTTGACGATATACCAGGAAGATCGTTAGACGCGTTTCGCGTTCTCATGTCTCGAATTTCAACCGAGCCCACCGCTTTTTACGCCTGCATCGCGGTTTCCTCGTTGCCCACCGCTCCTTACCACCGCATACTTGAGTAACGGGCTGGTAGCCGATCCGGGCTTGCATAAGCGCAGGAGATAGCATCCTGCAAGAACATCCTCGTCACAGGGTCATTGGCAGCCCTCGAAGATTACTTTTTTTATCATTAAACTTCACTGATATTATCAGGATGACTTTAAAGGAGTACGATCTCTGATAACTTGAAACGAAGACTAAGAGAGTATTTTTCTCCATTCTTCATCATAATTATTAAATTAGCAATAATTTTTGAAGAAATCGAAAGGATGTCCGAAGTAATACATTTTTTTTCTCAATTTTCAGGTGACGAAATTTTAAGTTTAAATGGACAAATTTTGAAAGGCCGCACGCATCAGGAAGTCATCGAGTTGTTTAAAACGGTGAGAGAGGGTACAGTCGAATTAGAGATTACAAGAAGACACAGGTAAAATTTATAAAAAAGATATAAAAATTATATCATTAAAAAAATTGGAGATAATTAAAGAAAATTATTGTTGCAGATATTCCAAAAGTACGTTGAAAAGTGCGCCATATTAATTATACAATAGGACGGAGAAGAAACTGCCCACCGGAAGTGCTCCTTAGATTTAGGCATAATCTATTATCGTTCACATGGAGAAAACGGCGTTTTAGAATTCTAGTCTATCAAAAGAAATCTATCTTTCGACGTTTTTCTCTTACATAATTTATTTCGCGCGACATATCTCGAAACTGCCTGATCTTATTATAATTAGATTAATCGTTTTTATTATTATTAGGATACTCGCGTTGATTATGATAATATTATAATTATTGTATTACCACGTCTTTAACATAAGATTTTATACGAGTAACATTATGACAATGTAGAATACATTATAAACATTTTTTAATCATAGAGGACAATAAAGAGGATGTTCTTTAGAGATATCATATTTAGATCATTATTAATTAAATAATTATTATTAAATTATTGTTTTTATTACTAACGATTTTGAAAAATGTACAGTATATACATGATATTTTACATAATCTGCATTGCTGCCTGTCTCTCTTTCAATAGCTATCATTCTCACGTGTCAATCAGCAAAAGATCCGCACACGACTTGGCTTTCGATATTCTGAAATAGAAAAATAAAATAGAAGAAATTCATATCACTCCAAATAAATGATACATAAATATTTTTTCTCATTTTACTTTTTTCTATAAAGATCTTTTACAACCATTTTAATTTGAATTAGATATTGATTGCAAACATTATAAAATGTTTAAATGTATCACGTATATTTATTCAATGAACTTAAAAATTTGCGGCATTCATTTATTTGTAATGTTAAAGACTGGAGAATCACTTACTGTGTTTCACGATTTTTCACGCGTCTACACAAATGCAAAGCAATCGGTCCGTTTTTAATATTCCGAAAAAGTTGTACGGCTTCACGATGCGTCAAGTCGTGGCAGACTTGGCCATTCACAGCCAAAATCTCATCTCCTGCACGCAAACGGCCATCTTCGGCGGCCTGTCCGCCGGGCAGTACCGATTTTATAAAGATACCTATGATACCAAATTGAAAAAATAAGAAATAGAAAAATAAATATAGAGGAAAAGAAATTATAAAATTTATTATAATAGAGAAATTACGTAAGAAAGAATTACAAATTATCTAAGTGCAATTACAAAGTTAAAATCTTCTTTGTTTTATTACACACGCACATAGATGTTTAGATAATTGAAACAAATATCTAAAAATAGATATTTATAATTACCAATACTTCCTTTCGGACTGTCTCTTCCGCCAACTATGGTAAATCCCAACGATTTCTTTCCGATTCCTTTCTCGAAAAGTACCGTAAGAAATGTAGATATCGTGTTCCTCGGTCTTCGGGGAAGAGTGCAAAACTTCGAGACGTTTTGCGTGAATCCGTTATCCATATTCGTCGCGAATTTCTCGGATGAAATCGATCTGCTGGATTCGTCCTTCTTATCTCGGTGAGATTTAATCTGATGCTTCCTGAAGTGATGCGATCCGGGTGAACTTTCGACGATCACTCCGTGACCGTCTTCCATGCTAACGTTCTCGTAATCCACACTGCTCTCTTTCAATTTCTTCGCCTGCTGATCGACGCCCGAGAACCTCGAGACAACGATGTCGATGTCACCGGGCCCGCTGCCGTTACCCAGGATCTTCCTAGCCTCTGCCATACTCAGACCGCGTAATCTCTTCCCGTTGACAATCAGAATTTCGTCACCGATCCTGAGAGTACCTTCCTTATCGGCCAATCCGTTCGGGACTACGTGAGCTACCAAGTAACCCGGATTGGACTCCGCAGTTTTCGCGATGAAGATACCCAGACATTGATCAGCGGTCTCTTTGGGAAGCTTCACGACCATCGTCTCCGTGATGTAGGGTCTACTTCTTATCGCCTGTAAACCGGAGCTGCGTTGCTTCCGCCTGAAATCTTCGTCCACGGTCCCTTCTTCTCTGTCGCGATCCATATTGTTCTCCACAGAGACTCGAGCCGTTTGACGATCTATCAACGTACCGTTTGCGGCTTGACAAACGTTACTCGAATACTCCTCGGCGAGGCTCATTCCAGAGTCCTTGTCTTTGGCTCTGTCGTGATAAATGTCCAGAGTCGCGAAGAGTCGCGCGGTCCCGTCGACATCCGTCGCGGCCGAGAAGGGTCTTCTGGGCGGAAGTTGAGGGGGCGATCCCAGACAGGAGTCGTTATGACCGCTATTGTTGAGCGGTCCTGAAGCACCGCTGCTACATCTGTCATCCAGAAGAGAGCTGGTGGCGGAATCGTTATCCAGGATCCCGGAATCGTTGTCGTCCTGATCCTGATCCTCGTACAGCGGATTCGTTCGTAACTCCTCGAGGCCCGGCAGCGTGCCGTACGAGAAGCTGCGCAGCCTCCGTCTCTCCCGGTCCTTGCAGTCCTTCCTGTAGATCTTCGCGATCAGCCTGTTCGTCGAGCTCTTTAAATACCTATCCTGCATCGCGCGGAATTTCGCCGCCAGACAGCTGGACGGCGTGATGCTGTCGAACGCCGTCGCGTCCTTCTTGAAGATCGCCTCGCCGCCGGCGTGCTTAGGAACCCCCGGCTCGGCCACGTTTGTTTCCCGATCGGTGGATCGATCGGGACCAACGCGGTTCGCCTCGAGGAAACCCCGCTCGGCCCTCTCCCATTGATAGTCGTGGGGCATAGCGTCTTCCCGGAGCGAGTCCCCCTCCTTCGGCCGCCACTCGGACTGCTTCCGGGGCGTCGAGGTGCGGAAGCCCAGGAAGGAGAATCGCTCTTCCTGCTGCTTTTTGTACGGCAACCTGCTCTGCGACTTGGCCCGTCTCTTCCTCTTCGCGTGACCGCTCCCCTCCTCCGTGATGTCCTTCAGGTCGGACTCGCAGACCGAGCGCCGAAACTCGTTCCTCGTCAGGCCGCGATGCCTCAGCTCGCACATCGAGCGAAACTGGACGCCCCGTCCCGCCTCCTCCTCGTCGTCGCCGTCCTCCTCGTCGGAGTCCTCGCGGTCCTTGAAGAAGCTCAGTCTGGTGCTCTTGACGCGATCCAGCAGGGGATTCCGCTTCTCGCACACTCGCCGCCGTTCCTCCTGGATCCTCTTCTTGTCCTTCTTATTAGGAGCGCGCTCGGTCGTCACTTGGGAGGTCTGCACGTTATAGCAATTCCTCTCGGATTCGGAACTCGACGATTTCCTCCGTGCCCATCGCACCGGCGATATGTCTGAGATAAGAATGACGAGTATTGATAAGTGTGCCCAGCGGACGGTAAAATAAATCGTGTAAAACTATAAGGTATATTTAATCTCCGACATACTTGATAAACCTTAAATTAAACGCGTTTACTCTCACTTCTACCCGTTTTTATAGAGCAAATTCATCACTTTCTACAGTTTTAAATTACGCTTCTATTTCCTATATAAAATATATAAGATCTATATAAGTATATTCTACAGATAGAGTACTGTACCATAATAGAGGTCGATAATAGAATATAGTAAATTGTGTATCCTCATCTCTGGCAATCTGTCTATTAATAAAAGCACAAGTGAGACCCGGACTGTACGACTTCTAAATCGAAAGTGGTCACCACTTTCAATGTCAGTTATAACGACAGTACTAAGACTACTACAGAACTGACGAATCTGCGGGTTCCGATTCTAAAACATGACGTCACATTAATCTTGCAGGATATGCGTAAAACAGGATGCGCCTATGAGTAATTTGTGTGTATAATTATAGAATATTATTTAAATAAATTTAGAAACACTAGCAACGTAATAACGTTTAATTAGAAAGAAATAAAGTAAATGGCAAAATAATTATGTTCAAAGTAAATTGATGCAAGACAATTTTTCGCATTCGCTAAATGAAACCAAATTACGTATGCATATATAGTTTCAATATAATATAATTTTATCAATAAAAATAATTAATATAATAGCGTTTACACTTTAATATATATTTTTCATCTAGAGAAAGAGAGACACGGGGAGGAAAGGACTGTTTAATGTTCTTTAAATGTTTTTAAATTTTTAATTTTGATTTTAATTTATTTAAAATGAAATTTAATAAAGTAAAACGAGAAGTCTCTTAATTAATTAATAATGATTAGATAAAAATGTAAAATTAATTATATTTTTTACAAAAACTTTTTTAAAGTTTAACAGAACTTGTAATACTAATCAATGTGAATGGATTTGTATGTCATTGTAAGATGTGTGTTGAAAGCTATGTTGATACTAATTTATTCCTTAATGCTACACGTTGTAGCTTTATGAAACGAGGCCCCGACAGCAATCGAGATAATACAGCCAGTAACGACAGTCGCTGTATCGAAGACTAGACGTGCGTCTTCAGTCTTCAAGGTGAGCACGCGAAATTTTTTCACTTTAAATTAGTCCGTCATCGCGAACAAATCGTTAACACGACTATTTTTAACAAATAAGGTGCGAACAAGCTTTTAAACAAATAAACATCGATTCCTCACATCAGCGATCGGAAAAGCGTGGAACAGCTGATAAATGAGAGTAATTTCGTGTATACGTTATCGTACGGAATGCGTAAACCGGATACTGTAAAAATAGATCGGGACACTCGAGTAACACTTTATCGTTCTTTAAGTCTTGCCTCAACGTCGAAACCGCGACTACGCTGCCTCACATAAAAATTCTCAGGATCGAATTGTGTTCCCCTGACGCAATATGTTTCACATGTTTATATGGCTAAATAATTATATCGTTATCCGCATTACTGCCGGCGTGTATCTCATACCTTATAAATGTGAGAAAGGAACGCTTTCTAATAGCAATCTTTTAGCATTTCAAATACTACTGATAGAAAAATAACTAAAGTTAAAGTTAAAGTTAGTCTTGCGCCCTAATAAAATTTAAACGAAACTTTCACGTTTCAAGTTTTTCGAAAGTGAAAAAAAAGGTAGCAAAATAATTTGATTTCTTTAGACAGATATCTCAAAACTGCACAGTTGGAAAATTTGTGTATTTTTGTATTGTAATGTTAATTGACCTTAACAAACATGTAACATGTAAAATTATTAAAATAATTTTGGAAAACATGTTAAAGTAAAATAATTTGTACGTACTTATTAAATTTGTTAAATTTTAAACAGAAAACAAATGTTGATTACCTTAGCGTAACACGAGTGGGGATGATTGCGCGTTATTTATATATTTATTATTTTTCATAAAAATTATAATTAATTGTACACACAATAAGCTACTAATTAAGATCAAGATCACATTTCTTTTTTAACTATTAACTATTTAAAATATTTCTTTTTTAAATATTAATTCTTTTAATATTATTTATAATAATATCAGCGTTACTAATTTAATCCATTCATTATAACGTTAAATTAACGCAAAAATTTGAGTGAGAATTTGGAACGAACCATGCGATTTACGTTAGATTTAACACATATTTTCCAACCGTGTACGTTACGAATGTTCAGCGCGCTGGGAAAGGTGGTTAGATTTTTTTTAATTAAGAACCCGTGGGCTCGTTTTCCGGCTGCCGTCTCAATTATAACAGTTACTATAATTAGCGGACTGGTTCATTGCCGGATTGTCATTGCCGTCGCTGTCACCGTCGCTGTCACCGGTGCGGTCGCACCGCGCGCTCTCGCAGGACGCCCATGCGGTCACGCATGAGCTACGGATTGCACGTCCTCGACAATGATCCTTTATTATTAACGTGCACTCGCGTAGGCCGGCGGTGTCAATTTGCTTCTATTCTCGCTTTCCAGCCAGTCACTCGGGGAACTCGGCTTGACGGAACGTCGGGTCGTAATCCCCGCATTCAGAATGGAATCCCGATTCGAGTCCGGCGCGCCGCACGCACACGCGCAGCGGAGACGACACGCAAGAATGCGTGTACGCACGCGTGTGACGAGCAAGACGATATTACGACGACATTTTTGCAAAAAAATTGGGCCGATTCGCGCGCCGGCGAATGACGGAAGACGATAAACGGCGAGGAGGATCGCAACGCAAACGGCTCTGTCACGCGCGTATCGCCGAGCGTGCTTTAAGCTCCGCGCACAATGAAGGAAATATCGAGAATAGGAATAAATATTAGATTCTAAGAAATAAAAGCTAAACGTAACGCACAATAAATACACAGGTATAAGATATGATACTATATTTTATATTCATTTGTATTCGTTACGTTTAATTTTTACTCCGAATTTTCATTTCCAAAAATTTGTTCCCAATATTTGTTCCCGTTCCTAATATTTATTCTATTGTGCGCAGGGCCTTCATGTTCTATTCTTTCGACCGGGACGGAGACGCGCCGCCATTTCAGATGACTTTTACCTCTGCATCGAGACGTCGCACGGAAATGGTAGGACGCTTCGTTGACGTCTTCATCGGCACGAAGGGGACTTAGGCGCAGGAGTCTCGGTGCCTCGGCGTGGCCGCGAAACCAACGCATGTCTGTAACACAAATTGGAAAGTAGTCAGAGCGTGATCTTCCACGTGAAAGCATTCGGTAAATATTTCAACAGCCGGCCGATAACTCCTTCGGCAAGTAGAAAATATTTCTACAGCTTCAAGAGTAAAAGGATTTTCTGATAAATTCTTCTAGTCGGAGAAAATTATGTTAAATTAAGATCGTGAACGGGACATTTTGCATATTTATCAATCAGATACGCCAGTGATCAGAAAGCGTCCCTGCGTCAATTTTAAACAACATATATATATATATATATATTTTTTTTTCTGCGGATTGCAACTCTATAAAAGTGAAACGGTGAATCTTGAGAAATGAATGGACTTTAGAAGTATCGATGGCGACAATCACCGCTGAATCCAGGCTATTTCTTTTCACTTCGTTATTGCACTTGTTTTCTAACACGATCTTAATAACGCGATAGAGAAAATTGCGTGCGATGATTGTATTGATGTACATATGAAAGATACATGCCGATTAACACGATCATTAATCAATTTCATACAAATGATAACGAGGCTTTAATCTGAGATTTAATTGCGAAGATATGTAAATTGAAAATTCATTGGCAAATAGCTTCTTTTAAATTTTTACTGCAGAAGAAATGTGTCTCGAATCAAATTTAAAAAAATCGATAAAATTGAAATTAGCTTTCTAAAATCGCTTGTATATAACATAAAATCAATCGATAAAAATCAATATATATTTATAAAATATTTACTTCTTATAACAAATTTAAAACAAATTTTCAATATATATAATTTGAAATTTCTTTTAAAATATAAAAAATAAATATTTTTCTAATATAATTTAAAAAATAATTGTACGGAAAAGTAGATTTTATAAACATACTGCATTTTTATTACATGAAACATTTCGCTCAATTTTTCGTAAAATTATCCCGAAAGAATGTATTTTTTTTTTTAGTCCGCTATACATATGACATTCAATATCGATGCCAGATTTA